GTGTCAAAATTAAATTATCTGAGATGGAATTTCTTGCAACGCTGCGGAGTATGAAATATTATAAAATGGTATTAAAAAGTGAAATCTTTAGAAAATTGAGATAATACCGGTTGCCAATTCACAGTCGATATTGAAAATTGAACTTTAAAAAAGATCATAGCCGATACCACCAAACAAAACTGAGGAGATATTTTAAAATATACTAGAATAAAGATATAACTCATATCGGCTTGGCGGCCAATCAACGATGTACAAAAAAAACTTTTTAATCACTATATTTTTCAATTAACCTCGATGTGAAATCGATTTTGGACAACCAGTTATGGATGTACAGTCACCTCGGCGACTTTATAGATTTTTTTTTAGAGGTGCTATAAAGGTCTTAGTCAAGCTTCTGTAAACCATTATTTGCACCTATGGGGTATTATCATTAAAATCTATTTCTCGATTGTTTATATTGTTACAAAATTAGCATTACATTTTTTCTTTGGAATATATAAGTATGTATCAACAATTGTACTCATCATATAAAGAGTATAATATATTTTCATCGTATAGGACTGACTGCAAGCTAAATTCCCTACTAAAAAACTGGTATTAAAACAAAGAAAGCACGAATTTCGACGTTGGACTGTACCCAGTATATCAAGCAGTGACACACGAGCGGTGTAATATATCTTGTTCGGGCTAATTAACTGCCAGCACAATGCTTTATAAGTGTTTACGGCGACTTGTATGGAGAAGAGGGCTAGTATAGTTTAAAAGAAAGGAGAATGCGAGAAAAAACGTACGTTCGGATCCATTTGATTGTGTATTGTAGTTGAAATATTTTTTAAAATCAGTTAATAGACCTTGTTTATCACAAAATGTGTCAAAAACTTACGACATTTTTGTAAAATTAAAACTTAAATTAATATCTGTGTAATTTTCAGGTTACTTTTCTCTACCGAAGTTCGGTGGCAGTTTTTATTTTTTGAATATTCTAAATTATTTTCATGACGTAATATTTAATATTCGAGTGTAGTATCCTGAAATGTTATCTTATATTACATGTTAATAAACTCTAATACTTAAATAATAAAAATTGCCCACGTAATACAGAATTAATTGATCATGTTAAGTTTGATAGTCAAAGTAATTTGTGGAGACAATAGTTTAAATAATGTCAACACTGATTTTCGTCGAAAAAAATGGAGGCGGGGACGTGGATTGGAGAGGGACCAGCCAGACTAGCTAAGATGATTTGAATTGTATTGTAATAATTCTGTTACCTATGTATTGATTAATTACAGTGATATGTACGGTGAAAGTGACTGTTATTATAGTCATATAGGACAATTTACTGCATATCGGTTGGGATTTTCGACCTTTAGTAAATTAAAATTAACCATGGACTTTAGCGGAGCGTTAGTTCCAAACGACGCCGCTAGATGGCATTGACCACTTTGAAGCTATTTCTAAAACGCGGTGTTTAGATTTTCCCTCGGCACTATAAGTAGTTAAGCTAGGTATGTATTGTTGATTCGGAATTCAATGTGTGGACGGCTCACTCTGGACCACATTGGGTATTTACTGCGTACGGGCTGTGTAGGAGAACTTACCGGACCTCCCGTTACGCCTTTTGTGTACTGCCACCAATAAAGTTCTGCTTACTTGTTTATTAAGCGCGTTATTTTTCTTTCACTGACGAAACGAGCTTTTGCCACATCCTCCTGGATCCCTTTACAGGACTAAATTAATCACAATTTTACTTCATTAAGTCCAAAATGGCTTTTTAGGAGTGCTACACCTTTATATAACCAAAAATATTCTTAATTCTTGTTGCAATAATTACCCGCTTTACTTTTTTTCTTATACCACACCCAATCAAACGTGCTAAGACATGCAGATTAAGATCTTAGCAGGAATCTGATACTAGTTACCGGGTATCGTGGATATCTGCTAGTTACATCGCGCCTTTACCGTTTTGAAAAATCACAGATTGTTAAAGATATTTTATACAATATGTGAAATAATAGAGAATTTGCAAATTGATGATACTCTCACGACGAATGAAGTTTCTTTTTACCTTTTTTCAGTTTCTAATTTTGTCAAGTTATCATTCTTGCCAATAACATTTTGTTCTCTTGACCAATGAAATAAAAAAGCGCAAACTAAATTGAAATTTAAATTTAAATTGGCAATTTGTTTGCTTAAATAAGATTGATTTTTTGGGATACATTAAAAGCAGGCGGTCACAATTTCACGCTTTCTGCAATCACTCCTGTTTGCTGAAAGCAGTGATCAACACCTATACATGACCGACGTGATCGGGACGCCTTCTGTGTGCCTCACTCTTCTAGACGTTTCTATTATTACAGTGCTATTTTAAATTCTAAAACCATATGTGCTATAATCTTGTCTTGTGAAAATATAAAAGTAGCACAGTCTTTGAAATAGAGGTGTGCAAACGTATTGTCAACTCGTTATTTCGAATGTATGGAGGACGTACGCCTAGTTGTTTTTTTTTATAATATTAAGTGACGGGACGAATAAGTCGTGTATCTGGTGGTAAGCGACACGCCTGTCCCTAACAATTGCAGTGCCACTCAGAGCTTTAAATCATGAAGATCTGAGGGGCACTGCCACTGCGCCCGACTCCCTAAGACATGTTGACAAGTCCCATTTACCTGTAATTTCACCAGCACCCTTGCCCTTCAAAACTCGGAACAAAGGTATGCTGACATTACTGCTTGGCGGCAGAAATAGGTTAGGTGGCAGGACTTCCCTGAACGAACTCTTTCACGAGGAGATTTACTGCCACATACTTGTCTATTAAAGAATAATGTATTATGATTACCGAGGCCTAGCAGGTGCTGTATAATGGTTTATTTTTCTCTATAAAACTACCAATTTATCCAATTCACCTTCAATGTTTAAGAATCAACATTTTATAAGCCCGAGAGCACTAAAAAAATTACACTCATAATCAGTATAACGACCAGTAGCTGGCACGAGTTGTAATTATACTATAAAACTTGTAATATCCTCTATAATAATTTTGAAATATGACACTTGTATCATACACTGCAAAAGTGCATTAATATTTTCCATCGAATGCATTTATGAAAATATATATTCGATATTATAAATATTTTGTAGCTGAAGAGTTTTCCGGTTTTGAAGGGTAAGGGTGCTGGTGAAATTACAGGCACATGAGACTTGTCAACTTACGTCTCAGGGTGACGGGCGTAGTGGCAGTGCCCCTCAGATCTTTGCAATTTAAAGCTCTGAGTGTCACTGCAATTGTTATGGCTAGGCTTATCATCAGTCGACGACTTATTCGTCCCGTCACTTGATATTATAATAAAAATATATAAAAAGTCAACGGAAATAATAACTTTCCGAAATTTCCGAATTTCCGAAAATTTGTAGACGATCGAAGACTTTTGAGGTAACTGTTAAATTTAAAAATAATCGACATTTTGTACTTTCAAACAAAAATAACGTACACACGTACAAGAAATATAACTCGCCACAATATACTATTCTGTCGGCAAATCATCAAAAAGAATCATTTTATAGCTTTTTTACATGACGAACAATCCTTGTAACTTATGATTCTCAATAACAACCGGGTTGGTACAAAAATTAACTGTCAAAAGTCACCCCCTCATAAGGAGAAACGACTTTATAAAGGCGCCTCCACACGGCGATGAGGCGGGGCGCACACGGGCATAATTAAAGAGGCGAAGATGATAAATAACGAACTGTCCGCGTTTTTACCGAAGATGTCATTATCTCGACCGACTCTATCAGCCATCACTCGATTACGTAGGTGGGATATAGATAGTGTTGTTACAAACACCACTAACTTAAGAGTTCAATATCTTATATAAAATAATGAACACAGAGTTCTTTGATATAACTTTTTACTACCTATTTATTTATTGGAACATTTTATTCTAATAATTTTATTTAAATAAATTAGACAGAAAACGAAGTAATTTTTAGACATGGGATTACAGTTCTATAAAAATTTATTCTATGCTTTGCAAATCGCGTTACAGAACGGTTTAGTATCTCTATTACACAGCAGCCTATCATTATTAAGGAACATTGTTAAATTCTGTTTTATTTACAACAATCTATATAATATCAACTCTGTACAGTTCTAGTCATCGTGCGGCAGCGCAGGCGCATGAATAATCGAAAGGTCCGAGTTGATGAGAGCGCGTGAGAGCTTTTTTGTCGTGACCACAGTAAAAAAAGAAACAAATAATTATTATTAACCGGAAAAGATGTCGTCTTATCAGCCAGTTTAGGAAATTATGCGATTATACCATCATTATATTACAGTCATCGAGTCAGGCGTTTGTAGGAAACAGTATAAATTTAAATAATTTAGAGTAAGTTGATGTGTAGTAATATAATTAAAGACAATAAGAAAACGCCTCAGAAACTTAATTTTGGAGAACAATAGAGTTGCTGTACGATGTCAGTTTCTTTATTTTCAATTATACAATATTTCAAACTTGTATTTTGTTCTTTTCTTTTAAAATTATTATCTTTTACACTGAATTATGAAGACAATGTCGCAAGAGAAGACAGATATTACAGTAATCAACCAAGGCAAAAACTTAATTGCAAAAAGGCTCTACATGTTTATTATTAGTTGTATACTTGTCTCTTACGTCGCTCTTTTAACCTTTTCTGTTTACCGTGATTAATATGGCCTGAAGTGCACTTTCAATAAGTAGTTTCCTAAGGCTGTATAACAAAAAGATATTATAGTTTTATAGAGCACTTATCAGACCCATCCGCTTCTAGCATGCTTTAAGCACCCACTACATTATCGCCTTATAAAAAATTAAATAAAATGCAAAACGTCGTCCCCGCAATTAAAGTGGCGGCTGTTTCAAAATAATCCGAATAATTTAAGAAATGTGCACTTGTAAAACGATTTTTTACCACAAACAAATGTAGAGGACAATTATAAAGTTATTAACTTTTGTTTTCAGATATGATGAATTGGAGTGAAACCTGATTCGGTGAGTCGCATTACTTTTTTTCTATACATTCGATATAATTATTACAGAAGCGCTCTTGTCGTCAAGAATTGTATTTTAATGTCTGTATGAGTAATAACAGAACACATTCCGTCAAAATGTTAGACAGGAAACTGTTTGTGCTACTTCATTGTAGGTACAGTTACTATTTTAGAGTTAACTAAAATGATTACATTTAGCAGGAAATGGGTGATTTTAGTTCAAATTTTTAATCTGATATTTCTGACAACTGAATTATGTAGTTAGAAAATAAAATAATTTGTATTAATTATCGCGGTTCCGGGTTCAATTTCCGGGACGTCTAATTAAGCAAAAGAAGCTGAACTTAGATTGTCGCGGAATATATTATAGACAACATCGCGTAAGTAATTAATAAAGCACTTGTGTTATGGTAATCGGAGACAACGAATACCACAAAGACTCAGACCCGAGACAATATAGAAAAATTCGTTTTCTACATTAACCCGACCGGGGATCGAACCCGGGACCTCAGAGATGGCGACATCATGAAAACCGGTGTGTAATCTAGTTGACCACGGAGATCGTCAAAAAATAATGCTTCCGAATCGTGTCCAGTTTATACCGTACGCAATTGACTTAAAGTTAATTATTATATGAACAATTTCGTTACAACAATACGCTTCCACGCGGCAATGTAAATTTAGCTGTAGATTTTGGTATTCCGGGCAGAGCACTCAAAGATGTTAGTACTATATTCATAGAAAATAGTAATGATATCCTCGTATTCATAGAACAGGGATTCACCAGTTTGAGACCAGGTAAATAAGACTTTTATCTGACCCGACAAGGGCTTGAAAAGTATCCGAAACGTTGATTTGTTTGAAAAAACAAAATCTCGAAATTTAGAAAAATAGTTTTGTTTCGTATGTACGAAAACCTAAGTGCTCGATATGCAGTTACGAAGATTATTAATTTAAATTCCTTATTTTTATTATAATTTACGGAGTATACGATTTACAAAATATTTTAATTTAATAATATATCTTTAAAAAAATATCACGTATTAACATTGACTTACAAATAAATGGACGACGGGTCTAATACAAAAACCATGAAAAAAATGTCCCAAGTCAACCTATTTAAACGTAGTGACATGTAAAGGAATATGAAAAAGCTAAAACGTTGAATTTAAATTGTAATGTCATCGCAATAGGTACTGTCTAATTTTGCTTGCTTCGCTGTCAGTAGAACAAACGAAGACTAAAGCGTGAATGACGCTCTGTATACGATTTTAACGTCCTATAAGTTCGGACACTTTTTAGCGCGGACCCGACGTCCATATAATTGTAAGTCAATGCGTATTCATGATGCCTCATATTGATAATGTTGTACTATATTCTTATGTCTGCTAGGAATTTTTCATCATAGGAAACACTAAATCCATGTTGAACTTCGTATGTTTTTAGTTTTAATGGCCTCTCACTGCATCCTGGTTAGAAAACTTGACCTGACTTAACTGAATCTGGGTTTTATTAAAGCTCTGGGTTTTAGCTAAGTAAGTTTTATCCATCACATGTTCGCGTGACATTGTCGGCAATACTGCTGTTTCGTTTTGTCATTTCCCCGTAAACAATTTACCAACTATGTAGCAAAGAGGCTGTATAATAATTATGATGGAGCTAAATATAAAATAGCTTAATCGCGATGTCAATGCAGCCTCAGGGTGATACTGGCTCAATAATGAGTGCCATTTATTGATAATTGGCTCGTTCCTTCAGTTAACTTAAACGCTTTACAAGTCAGGCAAAAATATAGGTGTGGCGTGCTTATAAGGGTTATTTTCCACTTGTTTCAATAATTCAAAAACATCTACGAAATCTTTGTGTGCGAATTGGTTCATAAAACTATTTCGAAATCAAAATCTCCAATTAAAAGATTACTTCAATGTTTTAACATAAGGTTCATGTTAAAAGTTACGTTTTACAGGACTAAACCATTCTCAATAACTATTCTATTTGCCCGTTTTGTAAAATTCAAATGATTATGAAATTTGCTCTGCAGAAACTAGTCCTAAACGGGTAATTTTCAGGTTAATTTTCTCCACTTAATTCGGTGGCAATTTTTATTATTTAAATATTCAAGAATATTAGCATAAAGTATTATTTAATATTCGGGTGTAGTATCTAATAGTACAGTATTCATTTTGTATATAGTTGCCTTACTTTCTCAAACTCTTATATTATGATTAAGATGCAAGAAATGGATTGTATATACAAATTTTGCAGACTGATTTCACATCATATTTCTTCATATTTACACACTAGCATTTAGCTATTCTTAAACTAATGCATCTAAATTAACACCCTTGATAAGAAATTTAAAATAAATAGATAGCCATCTTCTGAATAATCACTCTTTATAAGATACGAGTTTGAGATAAGAAGTAGTAAGTACTAATGTAATGTTGTATGTATGTCGTATGTATACAATACTTACATCAAGTTACAAATTTCGATGTAACCTTTAAAACTGCAAGACTTTTAAGCCCTTTGCGATTATAAACAAATAATTTTATTATTCATTGTTCTGCGAAAGTGAACAAAGTAACAGTTACAGCAATCGGGTGTATTTTAGACTGAACTACATTGTAAAGGGCGTTTAAACTCGAAGTTAAGTATAACTGAAATGGTTTAAAGTGAGAATAAGTCACGCACTGCAAGCTTTACTGCCTTGTTTAAAGATTACATTCAGTTTTTGTTTAAAAATAATGTACTTTTCTTGTTAAATGTAAAGTAATACGATGAGTAATTTATAGTAGCAGTCTCAAGCACTATGGATCTTTTTTAAATGTTATTATTAACAGTGTCTTTTTATGATACCTAGTGACGGTACGAACAAGTCGTGGGCCTAGTGCTAAGCGACACATCTGTCCATAACAGTTGCAGTACAACTCAGTGCTTTAAAACGCAAAGATCTGAGGGGCACTGCCACTGCGTCCGACACTCTGAGACGTAAGTCAGATACAAGAAAGATAAGTCCTATGCGCCCGTAATTTCACCAGCACCCTTGCCCTTTAGAACCGAAATGCAGTAATGCTCACATTACCGCTTGCCGGCAGAAGTAGATAAGATGGCAGTACTTCCCTGGACGAATTCTTTCACAAGAAGCTTTACTGCCACTAACTGAGTATGATTGCAAGAAAAGTAAATATTAATTTATCTATAGGCAATAATAAATAAAGGCAGTTAAAAATTAGAAGACCGTTTGGGAAACCCAAAGGCTGGCAGCTACCTTGCCCAACGCATTAGCATAGCTATACAAAAGGGGAACGCTGCCAGCATCTTGCGCACCTTGCCGCGAGGACCCAATTTATTCATATAATTTAATCCTAGTTTTCCGTTCTAGTATTTGAACTTTTTTGTACCTTCCTGTATAATATAGTTTCATTAAAAATTAAAAAAAAAGGTTATATATTCTTTTAATCAATCATTATGAACATTTATTTCATTTCTTCCATTGCAACGTGTGTTTATCGAAACAAAAGTAGTTCAGTTTCAGTCTATGGTTTTTTTCTCTCTGTTGTAAGTGATCCTCAGAAGTATGTTGTAATATACTGAAATTGTTTATTTATTTATTACATATTGCTTACAGTCAACCCAAGCGCAATAGTAAGACTTAAAGCTAAATATACAATCAATCTTAAGTCAATTGCAAAAGTGAATAAAATATGAAAATTGATAAAATTATAAATACAATACCATAAACAATAAATTATTACAGATTAACATTAATGACAAAAAAATAAGATAAAAACCATTTGTTATTACGTTTTAAACTAACACTTAATACTACTGTCTCCGGTCAAGGACTCCAGATAGTGTCCTGCGGAAAATATGAATTTTGTTTCTGAGCATGCAAAGAGGTCCAATGAGGAGTCGAAGTTAAGCAACTGATTTAGATACCTAATTTATAAAATTGTTTGCAAGAATAATATGAAAGTTTATGTCGATAAATTGTGTTTTGAATGACGTACATACGTAGCTATAGTCCACTATACCAAGATTCCAACAACGTGTACAGGATGTTGTGTACGGTTGTTTACATTGGTTGCAATTTTTTGTGCATTACATTTCCTTTTACAATTAAGTGCACACAGTGGCACTATATGTGTTGGGCATTTGTTATTGCATTAAAATATTTGTTTAATCAAAATTTGGATTTATCGACTATACGACTGTTAAATCAAGATGAAATTGACGACGGGTCGAGCTTAACTGGGAGATCTGTTTATTCTAAGCATGATAATGTCGAAAGTATAGGTACATGGTTGTGCACATTTATGCGGGTAATATCGATGCCTTATTTTCTCAAATTTTAATTTTGTATAGAGTCAGGAGATGGCAAATTTTTCTATTTATTTAAAATTTCTTATCAAGGGTATTAATTTGGATGCATTTCTTTAAGAACAGGTAAAAGTCAGCATTTAATATGAAGGAAATGCGATATGAAATCAGCCTGCAACATTTGTATAAACAATCCATTTTTTGCATTTCAGCAACTTTGTGTTTTACTATACGAGTTTGAGAAAGTAAGACGACGATATTGTACTAATAGAGTTTTCTGTATATATTTTTAACGTACATACATACTAGACACACACTTGGCAAAATTTATTCATTTATTATTTGAAATATAATACCTAATAGGCTTTACTAACCTATTAGTAAACAGAAACTAAAAAAAATGTAAACAACTTTTTATATTACATATAACATTTGAATCACGGAGACGATAACTTTAGTAGACGTTCCAATAGGAAATAATTACTGACAAAATGTATTTTAATAGAAATACATTCGAATAATAAATATTGTAAATTAGACCTTTTGAATTCCACTTTACAATAATCCTAAAAAATATAACCTCATAACTATGTCCCTACTGGGCAAATCGATACGCATAGGTTGAAAAAAATAGAAAAGTGTAATAAATTGTCGCCAGTATTATCTGGTTCTTAGAAC